GCTGGGAGCAGCGGGGTGAGCTGCAGGGCAGGGGAATGGAGGCTTTTGGGGCTGAGCCTGGAGCCAATTCCTCCCTGGGAGCCTGGATGACAGCACAGAGGATGGGCTGGGCACCGCCTCTCCCGTGTCCCAGCCTTTGGTTGGGTTTTATTTCTCCGCTCGGTTGAGTAGTGCCATTCCCCGGGGAGGCCAGCCCCCTGCCCGGCTCCCCGCAGCCCCCCTGCTCGCGGAGCTGCCCCACGCCAGGTATCTCGACATAAGCTGGGGAGAGGAATTAGCTTTTCCTTCCCTCCTTTCCATTTTTCATGGCACTTTGCTTGCTCATGTGCTGTCAGAGGCTGCAGGCAGCGAGTCCCCGTGTTTTATCTCGTCTGCGCCATGCACAGTCCGTCAATCTCGTGGCCAGGGTCTGGCCAGCTCCGGGTCTGTGCAGTGCAGGGGGCAGAGCCCAGGGGGGGTTTTCCCCCATCCCTGCACCCTCACGCCTGGTTGTCCTCTGTTGCAGGGGAAGGAGATGCTGACCCAGAAGCTGCCGCTGTGGCAGCAGTCCTGCGCAGACCCCAACAAGATCCCGGAGCGCGCCATCCAGCTGATGCAGCAGATGGCTGCCAGCAGCAATGGCACCATCATGCCCAGCCCTCTGTCTACATCCAAATCCAACCTCATCATCTCTGACCCCATCCCCGGTGCCAAACCTCTCCCTGTCCCCCCGGAGCTGGCACCTTTTGTCGGAGTAAGTGTCTCGGTGGTGGAAGTTCTCCTGCCCTTCTGAGCAAAGGTGGAGGGACGAGCCCCGGCCGGTGTCACCGTTGTCCTCAGCAAGTTGCCGTTTGATGGACTGGCCTTGATGCACAGGGATGGGAGGCTCCGGGCACCCGCTGCCCTGGGATGTGGGATGGATCCTGCCGTGGGCTGGGCAGCCTGGTCCAGCCCACCTCATCCCATCCCACCGGGGTTGCTGAGCTCTGGAGGGGACGGGGCTCCCCAGGGGTTTTGGGGAACCCATGAGCTGGATTCTCCTGGCCAGACTGGTCCCAGTCAGGCTGGTCCCAGAGCTATGGGGCTGAACCCAGTACCCCATAACCACGGGAGAAGATGCCCCATGGGATGAAAGACCCTTTAGAAAGGGGTCTCCCCCCTGATGTAGGGGCACAAGCTGAGCTGTAGAGCTCAGGAGGGATCTATCAGGTGCCAGGCAGCTCGGAGCAGTAAAATACCGCAGCGGTGACCCCCCTGCTCCCCCCAGAGCAGTTTGTCCCGGTGGGGAATTAAACCCAAGAGGCTGAAGCTCTGGTTTGCCGTGAGCCGTGTTCCCAGGATTGGCGGTGGGATGCCCTAATGAACCCGTCCTCGTCTCCCCCCCTCCTCTGCTC